TAAAGCAGAACCGGTAAATATGTTTATAATCAACTTCATTAAATCACCACTGAGCAGCTTTGAGACATGTATTATCAGCTGCACTACCTGGTCACTATAACCATGGGTACGTTATTAAAACAACCACAGTACATTTGGGTACTTCCCATAAATCCTCAATAACATCTGGAAATCTTGCAGCCAACATAGTTAACTAACCAAATTTTCAGCTACTTCAAAATAAAAGATTTTACTTTGCAGAATTAATTCTGTAATATTGTGTTAATACAATTAACTAAAAAACAAATAATTTGTTCAGATAATTTCTAATGACACTTTTTTATGTATGTATGGTCTTCCATTTTAAAGAACCATATAAATATTAGTAGCTTCTCAGATAACTATTTTATTATGCTGCACAGGAGGTATTCCAGATTTCCTTCATGTTCTAACGCATTTTTTTCCAGCATGTTTAGGGACAGGTAGAAAACAAAGCGGCATCCTGAGCTGGCAAACACCTGAGAATATGAAAGGGGACAGTATCACTCCCTTCAGGATGGGGAGGAAGAAGTGTTCAGTGTCTGCAATTCTGGGGAAATACTTTCAGACATAATGGAGAAAAAAAAAAACACTAAGGTAAGAAAAATGCTCGAACCTCTCATAAGTAAATAGAAGACCCTGAATATGCTATTTACTAAAACAATGGAGAGGAGAGAAAAAAAAAAAAGAAGAAAGAGCGTGCATGTGAGCACGCTTAATCTAAAACATCCTGATTGGACAGCTATCAAAAGTAGCACAAAGGGAGTAGTTTTATCACAGTCTGTCCCTTGTTTTCAGTCACTGTGTTTCATACAGAATTTAATTAATTTGATGCGACAACTTTTTCCCCACACACCCCTCATACAAATCACTCTAGTCCACGTACTTCCTGAAAAAGATTGCCCGTAGCCTGCTCTTATCCTCACCAAAAGAGATCATGAAGAGCTTGTCAGTTGTCCTCTTTCTAATGCATTCTGCATTGGTTTCTGGTATTTTTGGGAAAGACAGAACAGTATAACCAGTGTTTCTTAATTCCCTCTCTTACTGGAGCATATCACAAAGGAGTAAAAGCCTACTCTAGCAAAGACTTTTTGTACATAACAGTCCTGAAAATATTTGTTAACATAACACTTTGTTTATTCAGTCTGGCAAATGCTTTTATTTTAACCTCAAGCATCCTTAGTAAATGTCAGTGGTAAACACAAATTCATAGCTGGCTAACAAGCCTCCCTTATGTTTATTTCTAATTAAGCTTCTTCCAAGATACTGAGTAATGTTTAAAACAAACATATTCTATAGAGAATCGAAGTAAACCAATGATCACGTATTTCTCTTCACGAAAATGCACAATTAGATGGACATCACCAGCAGAGGGAAGAAGATCATGATATCCATGCATAAGAATACCTCCGTGCTTTTATTCTGCAACATGGGGAAATATTTTCTTGTCCTTTTCAGTTGTATTGCAAACTTTGATGTCTCTTCCAGAGCAGGTAACGTAAGGATGCGTACACCCTTTTATTCAGAACTCAGTTGCCAGTAAGAATTTATCTGTGTGTTTAAATATGTATCTATCTATATATAAAAACATACACACATCTATGCATAAGGATTTTTTTAAACTAAGAGTGCTGAATGGATAAGAAAAAAGTGCAATATGCTAAATAAAAGCTTCATTTTTATTTAAGGAAACATAAATCAACTTTAAGTTCTATAAGGCTGAGTGGCTTAAAAACTTCTAGGATTCTGAACTACTTTTTCTTTTTACATATTACAGCAAACCCTGTCAAAAAGGCCATAAAAATTGATTTTATGTTTCTGTTCTCTTTATGCTAGGTGAACTAGTATAGATTTTTCCTGTGTTTCTGACAAACAGAATCTTCCTTTATTTTTACAGCTTCCGAACTGCTACGCCAATCGAAGCTGAATGTTTTCTGGGTTCTTACATCTGATTTACATTACAAACAAGATGGGAGAAAGTTTTGGATTGTAAACCAAATATTATTTTATATTTATGGTTTTAAAAGAGCTTCTAGTCTGTCATTAGACACTGCTACAGAGAACGTTATATTCCATTTCCACTGCTATAGTATATATTTTAAGTGATTATGTTTATTTGTTGGAAGTGTTAGAACTGCACTATTAATCTGTGAGCTACCTCTTTAAATTCCAGTATCAATCCTTAAAATGGATTTAGCATCTTTTGCATCAAACATTAATAAGGCTCACTTAGGCACTCTTAATGCGAAGGAAAATTGGGCTTGTATGAAATGGCTACACTGGAACATTTCACGCTTTTGCAAGTGCAGGAGCATGATTATTTCCTACGGTATGTCATTATCTTTTGCCCTGTGGTTCTTTTTTTAAGATCATCGCTTCTCACTCCAGCTGCCTACACTATATTTTTAAGCTACATAGTTTTTCAATTTATGCATTGCACGCATGCAAATTTTGAGCAACTATACCACAAGCCAAGTAATAGACCACATTAAAGTATACTCCCCTTGGACACTACTAATAGAACTACAATTGCAAAAAAACTTGGGAGGAAAATAAAAATATATTTGACTCTGGGACATAAAAAAAATAAAATCAGGTCATTTGTTCCCAATATAGGCAAGAAAATACCATTCTAGACACACATGGAATTTCCTTAAACTAACCTGTTCAGAAAAAGTGTAAGCATGGCTAAAAACGTCAATTCATGTACTCACAAGGCAAATTAATTTGTTGCCCCCTTGTCCTTGTACCCAAGAGCTTCCTTCCTCCCCCCGCCCCCACACCCCTTTTCAGGGTCATTCCTAAAATGTACGCTCGCTCATCTGTAACTCTAGATGTTAACCCACCAGGGAGAGGAGTCTCCTCTTGGGTCTACAACTACTGCCTTCTCTTTTTCAGGATGAAAATAACTCTCTCTGACAATAAAGCAGTTTAAACAGCATGTGATAGATCAACATAAAGCACGGCTGGCACACTGGATAGCTCCTTGAAGGATCAATATTGCAGCTGTTGATTAGTAGTAGCCTGTAGTTGCAGACTGCAACGTATATCTGTATCTAAAAATCACTGTACTGACCCCTGTACGGAAAATAGTATTTGAAAGACAGGGAAATACTATTGAATTAAAGCAGTTTACATTAAGTTTGCAAGGTCATAAGCACCGAGCTGCTTCTTCACTCACAAATGGGTACTAAATAAGGAAAATAAGCCCTGACACCCACCACCCCCACTCCCCGAAACAATCAAAGGAAATGATTTATTTGGATGCCAACATCTGTCTCCAGATTGCAGCCAAGTGCTTTTCTGTGCTCATTTAGGACTCCACTTGGAAAGCTTTCCAGTTACATTTACCTAGAGATTTCTCTCTACCACTTCCCATCTGACAGAAATCACTCAGCTGGGTCTGATGAATAATAGCAAAAGGCAGCTTGTATCAGAGATGATTGAATTACAGATTGTTGAAAGTGCCATAAAGGCTCATTCCAATGACTACATTTAATTTACTTACTATACTCACTACTAGAAGCTGCTAGTTGTTTGATATCTTTATTTCACAAGACTTGAAACAAAAAGAAATATTAACAATTCTTTGTCACTTTCTGACTACTCTACCTGGAAGTTTTTGATAAGCCGATTTAACTTCCAAAACAGAGCATCGATCCTTTACCCATATCATGCGCATGCACGTGAAATGGACCCATAATACAATCAGAAATCAAAGTAAGGAAGCTGTATAAATAAGGTGAGGGAAATAACGTCTGTGGAAGCAAAATGAAATGGCATGGGTTTTACACAAAAAAAAAAAAAGAAAGAAAAGAAAAACCCACACAACTAAGTAATGGAGGAATTTTTTTTCCTTTAATTGATGCAAAAATTACTAGGTTTTGTCCTCCTGCCAGCAGGGAAGGTCAGCCCTCGGGGGGGGG